AGCCCACCGAGCCACCTGGGGGTACTCCATCACTGCCTAGGGGTAAGGGCAGGCTACACAAGTATCAAGATTCACACTAAACTCTTCCTTTTTAAAGCTTTCTGGTTAAATATGCTTTCTGGTTAAAACGCTATGCACCTTTGTTCAAGTCCTTCAGTCACAACATAATTTATCATCTGAGGGTGAACACATATAAAAACATGTAGTTCTTTTTGCACTTGTGTGCTCAAATCTGTCTTCAGCTCCCTATTCAGCTCTCTCTGGGACTAAATTTCTAATTCTCCTTCAGCTTCATCATGGGCGGCCTTTGTATCTAGCACCAGCAGTACCAGTAAATGTCTAGCAAAATAGTGTAGAAGAACTTACATGTATAAAGGAATGTTGGGGTTGCACTTTTCTTACAACACTGAGAATGGCCTGGTGACAACAGTGGAAGTAGACACTCCAACTTCAACTTAACAGTCAGTTAAAAAAATGTGTTGACAAAGCCTACATTATTATCTACAGAATAGTGGCATTCTCAAATCTCCACAAACATTTGTTAAATCCCTGCAATGTCTATAACTAACCTGAAAGGGATTAATTATATCTTAAAACAATTGTCATTCCACTTTTAAGTACTGGAATTTAAAAAACCCTAATCAACCCACCAACAGAGAGGAGATGGCAGCCATTTGAACCTGTGACAATCTCATATCTATGAGTCCTTTTTACCACCACTAGCCTACTAGTTTTTAATAAACACCACTTATCAGGTTATTAAACCTGTCCCGCTAGCTAATATCCTTAGGGATAAGCAGCAACAATGGCATATGCCATTACCACTCTCATCCATGGCCTCCCCTCAAATAAGAGAAGCCTAGGTGTAGCCAATGTCCATGGGCATGGGACTGAATTACTAAATAAAAATTTTTAGCCAGTACTCAACCAGGTCCAGAGGGAATGAAAAGTATCCCTTCTGTAAATCAGTTGCAATGTACATTAGAATTTCACATGATATCGCTTATAGGCATTGAAAAGCATTGAATACGCTCAGCACAGCTGCAATGAGAAACATGTAAAACAAACTCAATGCAACCTCTAGTCATCTACATTAACAGTGGGTATGTTGAAATAAAGTTGACTATCAATGTTTCAGATCACTACACAAGTTCTTAATTCATATAGGGATTAATTTAGAAAAAATTAGAAAATGCAGAAAGGGCAGATGTTGCTCACAGAAACCATAAATTAGGTCTGCATTGGTTCTTATTTGGAAAAGGACACTTGGAATAGAGATGCTATGGCCACCATGCTTTCCACTACCCTAGGTCCATATGATGCTATTTAATAAAGACTACAGTCTTTAAACAGTCTGTATACAGTATATCTAATCAATACCTGGCCCAGTCAGTTTTACTCTATCCAATTGGTTTAAAATGGACTAAAGTCAAGGTAATATGTATGCAGTGTCATAACAAAAGCCTGTGAATACCCTAGATATGGAGAGTCATATGCTAGATGACAGAGGTGACATCATGATTAGTGACACTCATCAAGACCAGAATCTACGTAATTCCATTCTTTTGAGATATTTTTCTCCAGATCATTGTCAGGACCAAAGTAGCCATGTCTTAGAAAGTGAATGATAGCTCAAGCATGCGTTTCAGTTAATTTCCCCCCCCCCCCTCTCTTTTTCTTCAATTTAAATAGGGACATGTGCATTTCAGTGCATTTTTGGTCCATTTTGGTGCGTTCCAGTGCATTTTTGGTCCATTCCAGTGCATTTTTTATGCATTTTACCGCATACCTTCAAGCCAATTCACACCACAAAAAACACTCTGGATGCACGGCGGGATGAGTTTTTGCTTACAGTTCACACCACACTTCATTCCGGAGTGTTTTGCTGTGTTCCAGTATAGTTCTGTGCAGAAAAAATGCTGCATGTTCTACTTTTTTTTTCTGCACTGGAAACTGACTGGAATTGACTGCAATGTTGTGAACAAGGGCCATTGGAATACATGGCAAACACAGTGCATGCATTTTTGATGCAGAAAAAAAGAGTACTATCTTATTCGTGTTTCTGTCCTAATGCACACACTTCTGTACAGTGCAGAAGCACATACTCATGAGATATGGGATCCCACTGGAAGGCCAAACAATGCCAGCAGCATCTATGCAAGGACTCTGGAAGTTTCTACCATTTTATGCTAAATCCATTTTAACGAGCAGCTGCATAATACGGTAATCTTTCCCACTACACCATCATATCATCTCCCACTCTGCTCACCAATAAAATGGTATATATAAACACAACAAAAAGCAATCTCCTTTATTGGGTATCTTCCTATCTGCCAGTGTGTATGCCAATTAAAGCTGCTCATATACTCTGATCAGCTAATAAAAGGTCATCCGGAGTAATTTAGGGTATGATTGCCATCATCCCAATTTTTCTAATAGAGAGAATTATACTTTACATTTGGTGGGATTTTTAAGGCAACCTTAGGGTATATACAAATTCAGCCTAAATGCACTTGTAGTCCCCACATTGAGGTTGCAAGATGGAAATCAGCTTCAAAGGATACCACTAACTATTCAATGCAATAACTACATATATTGTCAAGTAAATATGTTGTCAAGAATTGCTATATTCTATTGGGGAAATATGTGATGATATCCCACCAAATGTAAGGTATAATTCTCTCAATGTTAAATTCTGATCAGCTTGTCCATGGCCCTATGACACTCCTAATACATATTACAATCTAACTGTTATCTGCTTTAGATTTTCCAAAACTGCTTAGCATGAGGGCCTTTCTAAGCCAATCTGTTAACAATTGCCAATCAAATCATCATTACCATATACAGTATATCTGTGTAAGAACCCCATCATCTGTCTACCAGTCCATAATATTCATCATTTCATTTTTAATCCTTATATTTACTGTATATAAATTGTTTTTCCTTCTGTTTGTACAAATCCCAATCAGTCTGCTAAATACCATTGTCCATCTCTCTCTCTCTGTTGGTTCCCATTACAAATGCCTGTCAGTGGAAAACAAATCGGTTACCAGTCAGTCAGTTTGTCTGCCAGTCGTCCTATGTCCATTTATACAGGTATCAATGCCAGTCCATCTGTCAGATCTAATCAGACCATTTGTTAAACTAGACTTGTCTTTTCCACTTTGTATCTGCCTGTGGCAACACCAATAAGACTTCCCGTCTATTTGTCCGCTGGCGTCAATGCCAATTACTGCCTTTGCAGAACATGGGAATTAAAAAAAAGGACAGTGTAATGTGCACATCAACAGATACGATCAGTGTGAAAAGGAGTTGGGAAAATGTATAGTTCTTTTTGTGATACAATTGACTAACATGCCTCCAGGATTATTCTTTCCCTTTAAAATGTATCCATTAACCCTTCGCACACTGCTATACACCCTTACATAGTTATAGCAAATGTTTACATAAAACAGGGACTTTTGGTTCACATACATTGCAACACATGTTTAAGCTGCTCAGCTGCATCAAAGTAATTCCTTGATAACCAGTCCTCGTTCCCCTTACCAGTTTATTTTATGATCCAGAACACTCTTCCTCTGCTGCTTTCTGCGTGCTGTCAATGCTATCCATAGGTTCAGACCTGTGGCAGTGTTAAAGACATGCACAGATGAGCCAGAAAAGGAGGCATTACCATGAAGTAAAGGAGCTCCTTCATGATTTGATAGAGTTTTTCTTTATCTTGACCTCATCAGCCCTGGAAGCAAGACAGATTAGTAGTCAAATGGCAAATTATAAGGTATTTAGTGGTAATATTTGATTTAGGATTGCCATCTCATCCCTTTAAAACCAAACACATATTAACTACACAGGTTGTGAGGCTAATTTAATGCAGATCAGGCTCTAAGTGAATTTAACCACTTGTCCTCCAGAGGATTTACCCTACTTCCTGACCAGGCCATTTTTTGCAATATACAGCACTGCGTTAGTTTAACTGACAATTGCTCGGTCATGCAACGCTGCACCCAAATTAAATTTACGTCCTTTTCTTCCCACAAATTGAGCTTTCTTTCAGTGGTATTTCATCTCCTGTGTGTTTTTTATTTTTTGCACTATAAACAAAAAAAGACCGACAATTTTGAGAAAAAAAAACAATATTTTTGACATTTTGCAATTAAACATGTCCAGTAAAAAAAATTTTTAAAATCAAATTTCCTCCTAAATTTAGGCCAAAATGTATTCTGCTACATGTCTTTGCTAAAAAAAAAAATCCCAATACATGTAAATTAATTGATTTACGTGAAAGTTATAGCATTTACAAATGTCGGTATATATACTGGAATTTTTTTTTTCTACTAGTAATGGTGGCAATCAGCAACCTATAGCAGGACTGCAGGACTGTGGCGGGCATTCTGACACTGAAAACAATATTTTGGATCAAAAAATGTAAAAAAATGGTCAAAAAAATCAAATTTCGTCAAAAATTTAGGCCAAAATGTATTCTGCGACATGTCTTTTCTAAGAAAAATCCCAATACGTGTAAATTAATTGGTTTACATGAAAGTTATAACGTCTACAAATGGCGGTATAGATACTGGGAATTTTTTTTTTACTAATAATGGTGGCGATCGGTGACTTATGGCGACGATCAGCGACTTATGGCGGGACTGCGGCAAACATTCTGACACTGGGAGGGAACTGACTTGGTGTCACTGACATCCACAGTGACACCAGTACAGTGATCGTGCAAATAAAAATAACTGACACTATACTAATGGCCCTGGGCAGGAAAAGGTTAACATCAGGAGCGATCAAAGGGTTAACTGTAAACATACTGCTTTGTATGGCTCTGCTATGCAAACTAGTGTGCAGGAGCTGTCAGGGGAGAGAGCTGTGTTGTTTATACACAGGTTTCTCTCCCATCGCAGATACTCAGTGATCACCGGGTGCCGGCGAGTAATCACCAGTCAAGACACGGTGATTGACAGCCGAGACTGTGAATGGTGGTGCTGGTAGGGCATGCGTGCACCCCCTACCTGGAACTGCAAAAGCAGGTATATATACATGATTTTTCACACCTGTGCCGCCCTGTAGCAGTATTACTGCTATAGGGTGGCGTGGAACTGGTTAATTACCACTTTAATCAGCCACAAAACCTGTGTAATTAATATGTGTTCGGTTTTAAAGGGATGAGGTGGCAACCCTAATTTGACTTAAACACATTGGATAAGATGACTTATAGTGCAATAAATGATTGGTGATCATTAGCATTTACATACTTCCTAAATTGCACAATGAACAATACCCAAGTAATATAGAAAATGGGGAAAAGGAACCCAGCAGTGTTGGTATAGGCATTCATACAACTTAAATCCATCCACTTAGCACTCAACATAAGCTATCTTGCCTCACATAGATCTTTATTTGTTGTGTTATGGGGAATTCAGCTCAGTGGCAGATGCGTTTTTAGCGAGCCCATGTCAGTCCCAACTGTAGTGCTAGGGCTTGCCACCCACTTATTAAAATAGAAGTCAAAGTAAGATCCTTTACATCAGGTTTTCCCACACAGGGGTTTCAGTTTCACACAACAAATCAGGTAACAAAAAATGCCAAGCTACCTGGCACCCCCTTTTCAATGCTCCCTTAGACTCACCCAGCTTTTCCTAGCTCTCTGCGCTTTCCTGGCTCAGCCTGTAGTTACAGCTCCCTGCTGTATGGGCCCACTGCTGGCCCCTCAGTAGGGGATCTCCTGACACCTCGGGCTCTCACACTCCTCTGAGCCTTCCTGAATTCCTCAGTCCCCTGGACTCTCCTAGTTACAGGGGTTGGACAAAAATATAGAAAGACTATATGATTTGCAGGTGTGAAAGTGAGGGAATGTTTCACAGTGAAATCAGAAGTGATGTAACATTCTTTTGCTTCGGCTGTGTGATGAGACACCTAGCTAACAGGTGGGAAGCCTTACTTTTGACATTCACTGCGTGCACTGCTAGTAGTATGGATTCATGTTAGAGCTTCCAAAGAGGGTAAATTGTTGGTGTCCGCTTAGCTGGTGCCTCTGTGACTGAAGTTGCCAATTTATTTGCTGTGTTGCAAGGTACAGTATCAAAGGTTATGACTGCATATACAGTTTACAGAACAATGTTCTATGATAACCATAAGCACGGTCGACATGGTCAGCTGACCGAAAGAGACAAAAAGGCAATTTGCAGGATTGTGACCTGGAATAGGAAAACAACTGCTGCAAAAGTGACTGCAGAGCTCAATCTCATCTTTTAAAGCTCATGTCTACAAAAAATGTGTGGAGGGAACTCCATAAGCAAAATATTTACAGGTGAGTTGCAATTGCCAAACCACTAGTGAATGATATTAATACTCAGAAGGGTATAGAGTGGTGCAACACCAATAAATTGTGGACTATCCGATCAATGGAAGACTGTAATATGGTCCAATGAATCAAGCTTCACACCGTTCCCAACCACCGGACAATGTTTATGTGTGGCGAACACCGACCCCAAGCTTACGACCAAGCATGAAGAAAAATCATGGTTTTGGCAGTCATATCTTGCTATTCTTCAGGCCCCAAGGTAGAGTCACTGCCAGTGACTATGTACATATTTTGGGCAGCCATGTGCACCCCATGGTGCAGACATTGTTTCCTGACAGTGCCATTTATCAAAATGATAATGCTCCCATTCACACAGCTGATGCTGTCAAATCGTGGTTTGATGAGCATGCAGATGAAGTCTTGCACCTTCCCTGGGTGCCGCAGTACCATATCCACTGTGGTCAATCTTGGAGAACAAGATTCAGGCTTGTTTTCCACCTCTGGCATCTCTGCAAGAACTGGAGACATTTTTGCATTAAGAGTGGTTTCAGATTCCATTATCCATCATCCAAGACTTATATTTGTCAATTCCCAGGATAATTCAGGCCATCTTGGAAGGCAGTCCAACACCATATTAGGTAACAATTTTGTTTGTTTACCTGTCACTTTCATAATTTTGTCCAACCTCTAAGTATGTGTGTGTGTATATATATATATATATATATATATATATATATATACACATACACACACACTATATTGCCAAAAGTATTGGGACACCCCTCCAAATCATTGGATTCAGGTGTTCCAATCATCTCCATGGCAACAGTTGTATAAAATCACGTACATAGACATGCAGACTGCTTCTGCAAACATTTGTGAAAGAATGGGTCCTTGCTACTAAATATTCCACGGTTAACTGTCAGTGGTATTATAACAAAGTGGAAGCAACTGGGAACAACAGCAACTCAGCCATGAAGTGGTAGGCCACGTAAAATGACATGCTGAAGCGCACAGTTCGCAGAAGTCACCAACTGTCTGCAGAGTCAATAGCTAACAACCTCCAAACTTCGTGTGGCCTTCAGATTAGCACAACAGTGCGTAGAGAGCTTCATGGAATGGGTTTCCATTGCCGAGCAGCTGCATCCAAGCCTTACATCACCAAGTGCAATGCAAAGCATTGGAAGCAGTGGTGTAAATCATGCCGCCACTGGACTCTAGAGCAGTGGAGACGTGTTCTCTGGAGTGACCAATCACGCCACGCTTCTCTATCTGGCAATCCATTTTCGGATGATAGATTGAACAGTGCACCGTGAGATGTTCAAAGCTTGGAATATTATTTTATAACCTAACCCTGCTTTAAACACCTCCACAACTTTATCCCTGACCTGTCTGGTGCGTTCCTTGGACTTCATGATGCTGTTTGTTCACTAATGTTCTCTACAAACCTCTGAGGGCTTCACAGAATAGCTATATTTTACTGACATTAAATTACACACAAGTGGACTCTATTTACTAATTAGGTGACTTCTGAATGCAATTCGTTCCACTAGATTTTAGTTAAGGGTATCAGAGTAAAGGGGGCTGAATACAAATGCATACCACACTTTTCAGATATTTTTTTGTAAAAATGTCCCAATTCAAATTATGTGCCATATATCACATAAATTCCCAATATATATATATATATATATATATATATATATATATATATACACACACTATATTGCCAAAAGTACTGGGACACCTACCTTTACATGCACATGAACTTTAGTGACATCCCAGTCTTAGTCCGTAGGGTTCAATATTGAGTTGGCCCACCCTTTGCAGCTATAACAGCTTCAACTCTTCTGGGAAAGCTGTCCACAAGGTTTAGGAGTGTGTCTATGGGAATTTGTGACCATTCTTCCAGACGCTCATTTGTGAGGTCAGGAACTGATCTTGGATGAGGTGGTCTGGTTCGCAGTCTCCGCTCTAATTCATCCAAAAGGTGTTCTATCGGGTTGAGGTTAGGACTCTGTGCAGGCCAGTCAAGTTCCTCCACCCTAAACTTGCTCATCCATGTCTTTATGGACCTTTCTTGTGCACTGGTGCGCAGTCATGTTGGAACAGGAAGGGGCCATCCCCAAACTGTTCCCACTTTACACCACGGCATCTGACGCTTTGCATTGCACTTGGTGATGTAAGGCTTGAATTTAGCTGCTCGGCCATGGAAACCCATTTCATGAAGCTCTCTACGCACTGTTGTACTAATCTGAAGGGCACATGAAGTTTGGAGGTCTTTAGCTATTGAATCTGCAGATAGTTGGCGACGTCTGCTCACTGTGCGCTTCAGCATGCGCTGACCTCGCTCTGTCATTTTATATGGCCTAACGCTTCGTGGCTGAGTTGCTGTTCCCAGCTGCTTCCACTTTGGTATAATACCACTAACAGTTGACTGTGGAATATTTAGTAGCAAGGAAATGTCACAGATGGACATATTGCACAGGTGGCAACCTATCACGGTACAACACTTAAATTCACTGAGCTCCTGAGAGCGACCCATTCTTTCACAAATGTTTGTAGAAGCAGCCTGCATGCCTAGGGGCTTGAGATTTTATACATCTGTGGCCATGGAGGTGGTTGGAACACCAGAATCCAATGATTTGGAGGGGTGTCCCAATACTTTTGGCAATACAGTGTGTAGATAAATAGACTATTCTAAATGAACTTCCACTCCCAAAATTACAACATGTTAAAACATATATGAAATGTTAGTGACTGGTTTAAGATGACTTTAAAAGTAAACATGCCATAATATTGACTTGGGTAAAGGTTTTCACTAGTATTTTGCCCCACCACAGCTCTCAATAGAGTTGTCCTTTGTAGAAGAAACCTTATCCAGAGCAGTGTTAATTTCGATAACAAAAATGAATTCCAATTTTTGTAAACAAAGGAAAATGTGAGGGAGGAACTTTTACCCATGAGACCTGCTTTCCACGGAACTCCACCTGTAAAGCCCATTTTTCCCCTCACAGCAAGCAAGGTAGTGACTGTAGCGTGCTTAGTTGTGTGATGTGCTTAGCACTGTATAGCTTTACGTGCGTCCACAGACAACCATCTTGAGCACTACAGGCCTCCTGACTGTACAGAGTACTGTGTGCAGCATTATTACAGGTTTAGTCAGGCGACCGCCCAGAACATTGCGTGGGCAATTACAGGCCTCCTCTGACCACCGTTCAGAGCACTGTGTGCATTACAGGCCTCCTCAGACCACAATGTGCATTACAGGCCTCCTCAGACCACAAGAGCACTGTGTGCATTACAGGCCTCCTCAGACCACAATGTGCATTACAGGCCTCCTCAGACCACTGTTCAGAGCACTGTGTGCATTAAGGACATCAAAATAACACTGATCCAGAGCAGAGGATATGTGCTGTTGTAATGGCAGGAGAGGTGAGGGAGGAAGGCAAATAAAGTATTTAAAAACCCAGGGCTCAACTAACACAAATGATTCTATGAACGCACCATTACTTTTAGATGGGCACTTAAAGCATGTAGTAATCAATACAATAAAGAGAGAAAAAGGTCACACAGAACCACACTACACTACATAATTAGAAAAGCATATCTACTGTCAAGAGCCAAAGTCTCTAGATATGGGGTGAGCAAGTACATAAGTCTAAGGCGCTCTAAAGGTCCCAACTATTTTATCTTCTTTAACCACTTGTCCTCCAAAGGATTTACCCCCCCCCCCCCTTCTTGACCAGGCCATTTTTGTGATACGGCGCTGAGTTACTTTAACTGAAAATTATGCAGTCATGCAATGCTGTACATAAATATAATTTATGTCATTATTTTCCCCACAAATAGAGCTTTCTTTCAGTGGTATTTGATCACCTCTGACTTTTTTCTTTTTTGCACTATAAACACAAAAAAGACCGACAATTTTGAAAAAAAAATATATATATATATTTTGTATATAAATTCTGCATAAATTTAGGCCAAAATGGGTTTCTATGTCTTTGCTAGAAGGAAAAAAAAAAAATCACAATAATTGTATATTAATCGGTTTACGTGAAAGTTATATCTTCTACAAATGGCAGTATATATGGTGGAATTTTTTTTTTTTTCAATACTAGTAATGGTGGCGATCAGCACTTATAGTGGGACTGCGGCGGGCATTCTGACACTCGGTGGGAAATAACTGCCACTGACATCCCCAGTGACACTAATACAGGGATCAGTGCTAATAAAAAGCACTGACACTGTACTAATGACACTGGGCAGGAAGGGGTTAACATCTGGGGTGATCAAAGGGTTAACTGTGTTGTGTTTTACTTGGGAGACATGCTGCTTTGTATCTCTCTGCTGTGCAGAGAAATACAAAGCAGCATGTCCATGTTGACAGCAGAGAGACCTGTGTTGTTTACACCCAGGTCTCTCCCGTCAGCTTTGCCGATGATCACTGTGTGCCGACCGTGAATAGCCGGCTGGGACCCAGTGATTGACATCCCCAGCTGCCAATAGCAGTTTGGTTATGGCAGCGTGCACCCCCTACCCAGAAGTGCAAATCACAAATATATATGTGATTTTGTGCAACCGTGCCGCCCTGTAGCAGTACTTCTGCTAAAGGCCGGATGGCAAGTGGTTAAATATCTAATATATTATAAATGATCTGTACTGACAGATTTATATATAGAAAGATATTCTTGTGCTTAGGGTAATTTCAGAGAGTAGGATGCAGCACTCTAATTGTCAGAATACAAAACAGGATGGTTTTATGAATAGGTGCACTTCTATGAATATATTCGATAAATGATGACATAACATTAGTTAAAGTGCTTGTGCATAAATCTTAAATGACTCTCATAAACGAATAAAAATTACAAATAAATGATATTCTCGCCAACAACCACATTTGAATAAATCACTCAAAAATTATATAAGTTCATAGTAATCAGCAAAAAAGTGTGAAAAGTCTGCATAGAAATCTTCAGAAAAGTGCAAAGGACAAGTAAGTGCTCCTCCAGGTGCATCCACCACCACAGATCAATAAACCTCTTACCAGAAAATATTGATCTCCAAAGTGATCAAGATCAATAAGCGCTCAGTGTAAATAAGCCCTCTGGAAGACAGCCTCTTTAAAATCAGCAGTGACCTTCAGACCTCCAATCATCTCTCATGAAGGGTTAACAACACGCCATTTAAAAAGAACTTGTCCTCTTTGTTACTCTGGAGAAATAGCGGTTTGTGTTCAAGTACAGGCGCATGGACACAGACCAGCAAACTGCTATTTCTCCATTGTTGCTCAGTGCAGGAATACACCTGTTAACCAGTTACCGACTGCCCACCCGCAATGTACTGTGGATGGATGGCCTCAGCAGGCAAAGCGAAGTACCTGCACGTCGCTGCCTACTACTCCCTGGTATCGAGCACACGTATCGTGCCCCCCTGGCCGGCATCTGCTGTGAACTATCGCAGATCTATTATAAGTCGCTTATCACTGCCATTAGTAGTATAAAAAAAAATAAAATACAAATTCCAGTATGTATCCCATAGTTTGTAGGTGTTCTACCTTTCATGCAAACCAATTAATGTACCCTTATTGGGATTTTTTTTAATCAAAAGACATGTAGCAGAATACATTTTGGCAAAAATGTATGGAGAAATTAGGTTTTTAAAAGGTTTCTTTATTGGATATGTTTTATAGCAGAATGTAAAAAAAAATTTTTTTTCTTCAAAATGTTCAGTCTTTTTTCATTTATAAATCGCAAAAAATAAAAAGCCCAGTGTTGATCAAATACCACCAAAAGAAAGCTCTACCTGTGTAAAAACAATTATATAGATTTTGTTTGGGTTCAGTGTTGCATGACCGCACAATTACCAGTTAAATAAGCACAGTGCGGTACAGCAAAACAATAGCTTGGTCATGAAGGAGGTAAAATCTTACGGAACCCAAGTGCTTAATCTTGTCAGAAATCTCTGCACACTTCCTCTATTATCTTTGAGCGTTATCTTTTCATTCAAAGCATGGACTACAGAGAGATTAGCTTTTTTCTTGTAGAGATCTGAGAGTGGGAAAGGTTGAACAGTTTAGCAAAAGAAATTGGGCATGGTTGACAACACTCTGTCCACAAAATGCTGTGTGTTGTCAGTCCAAAATAGGGAGGGCTTAAGCGCCAAGTACATTTCTGTTAGATTAACAAGTATTTTTTGCAGGGTCTTTAAGTGCTTTCCCGCCGCCCTTTAGCAGAAATACTGCTACATGGCGGCAGGGATGCACAAAATCACGTATATATACACATAATTTTGCATTTCCGGGTAGGGGGCACGTGCTCCCTACCCGCGCCGCTGTTCGCGCCTCGGCTGTCAATCACCAGGTCCCGGCCAGTGATTACTCACCGGCACCCAGTGATTGCCGAGTATTACCGAAGGGGGGAGAGAACTGTATGTAAACAATTCAGTTCTCTCCCCTGTCAGCTCCAGCACACTGCTTTGTATGGTTCTGCTATGCAGAGCCATACAAAGCAGTGCGCTTGCAGTTGAAAGCACAGACACAGCTTACTAAGAAACAGCACACAGTTAACCTTTTGATTGACCCACGTTAACCCCTTCCTGCCTAGTGCCATTAGTAGCGTCAGTGCTTTTTATTAGCACTGTTCACTGTATTGGTGTCTCTGGGGATGTCAGTGACACCAAGTTCGTTCCCCCCCCCCGTGTCAGAATGCCTGCCGCAGCTCCGCTATAAGTCACTAATCGCCATTACTAGTAAAAAAAATTAAATAAATTCCAGTATCTATACCGCCATTTGTAAACGCTATAACTTTCACGTAAACCAATTACTTTACACGAAATGGGATTTTTTTTTATTTAGCAAAGATATGTAGCAGAATTCATTTTGGCCTAAATTTATAACGAAGTTTGATTTTTTACATTGTTTGCTGGACATGTTTAATAGCAAAAAGTAAAAAAAAAATTTTTTTTCTTAAAATTGTCGTTTTTTTTTTATAGCGCAAATAATTAAAACCGCACAGGCGATCAAATACCACTGAAAGCAAGCTCTATTCGTGGGGAAAAAGAAAAAAAAAAGTAAATGTAATTTGGGTGCAGCGTTGCATGAACGTGCAATTATCAGTTAAAGTAATGCAGCGCTGTAACACAAAAAATGGCCTGGTCAGGAAGGGGGGTAAATCCCGTGGAGGGCAAGTGGTTAAAGGAACACTCAGACCTGTCTGTTTGAATGCAGTGTTAATGGTCCAGAATGAACCAAAATCGGACATGAATGTTTTTTTTTTCCAATGAAGCACACCACAGCAACGCATTACCATGTATTGTGGTGTTCTGTAATGAATGCACATCAACGCTGTGTTGGGTTAACATGGACAATGTGGACAAAGAATAGCACATGATGTACCACACTGGAGACCTCTAAATGGTCCGTAAAGGCATGAGATTGGGAAATATGCATTTATAGAGATGTACTGCCGGTTTGGTTTTTTGTTTTTTTGTTTTCTCTTCTTGACACAAGCTTTAAGCTGGCCATACGCTTTTTTATTCAGCCATCCAAAAATAATTAAAAAAAAAAAAAAAAAAAAAAGATTCCTCCATTCACACAAACGGAGGAATGTAGGAATCTCCCCTGCCGGGACACTGTATTCCAGCAGCTGCACCTACCACTGATCAGTGGCCGCAGCGGCTGATCAATAAAAATTCAACATGCCCCTTTGACAGAAATCGATCAAACGAAATAGGGACCTCCACACACTGATCACAATGTGTTCGGTCCCTATTGATTTCATTTGGTGTATGGTCAATATTAGGGGGTAAATGCCATCTCCTGATAACCAGCTCACAATGTTTGCATTGCTTTAAGTTTTTTTTCCTTACAGACAAAGGCAGTTCTATGCCAGTTATTGGCAGACCTTTTACATAAAGTAAACTCTACTTGGCTACATTAAATCTTTAAGTAAAACAGTCCTTTAATGGTTACATTCACAGTAAATCATGTTAAAAAAAAAAAAAAAAAAACAAATCCACATGACTGTAGTAATCAACTGATTTTATTTTGCCATGCTCTATTTTCACATTAAGCAGGTCAGAAGTACTCTCGTCTGAACAAGTAATTATGTACCAAAGGTGGACATTTAGAGACTGCATTTCTGACAGGACAGATTGGGATTGCTTTGTTTTTATCTGGTGCATTGCGGGGCCATTAGCCTGGAGGCCAGCCCAGCTGACGTCCGCCAAGAACATGCAGGTGAATGTGGTACACAGACTGGCCACCATCTGCTCCATCATTGAGGACCAGCCGAAAGCCTTTCGCCAAGCCCAGATCGGCAGCACAATTCTTGCCAACAATCATCAGATGTCCTAGTAGCTGTGGAATGAGAACAAAAGGATGAAAAAGGTTAAAAAAAAGTCTACACTGTAATGTTTACACTGTAAAAATAATAATACAAATGTGACAACAGCCAATGCTGTACAGAGGCCTTCTAATTAAAGGATTATAGAAGATGAGTTTTTCCCTTACAGGTATAAGAATCATACGAGTGGACAAAGTACTGTAGTTGCTGTTCATAATTTAATCACTTCAATCTCAGAGAACAGATAAGTAGAACACTTAAAAGGAGAGGTTACTTTCAGGCTAGGTTCACATCTGTGCGGGTAGTGCCGCTGCAGATCCGTACGAAAATCCGCACAGAGGAATGCGGACCCGCGGGCGGGTGCCATTAGCGACCGCACTGGAAATCGTAACCGTACTGGGAACCGAGGTTCCCGTGTTTTTCAGAAGAAGTGCAGGGACTTCCCTGTGTGTCACGGGGCACGGGAGTCCTTTCAAATGAATGGGCTCCCGTGCCCATGCAAAAAGTGGCCTGTACGGCCGCATATATGTGAACCAGGGGTTAGAGAAGACAATCTGTACACTGCACTAGCAGCCCATAGGCATCACAATGTTTGCAAAGATGAGCAGTCATTGGTCAGCACAGTCATGTGGCCATGAGCATCTTTTCTTTCTTCCAGCATGGTGTTTCTGAAGGTATGCGGCTCAGAAGAGATTTTCACTGGTCAGTAAGGTCATGTGGTCAAAGACCAGTCGTAATTGCAAGAATTAATTTGCTTACTCTTGAGGCTCTGTTCACACCAAATGCGCACACACACACACACACACACACACACACACACACACACACACACACACACTTACTTAAATCGTGCGACTTACAGTGAAGTCGCACGATTTCAAAACCAGGTTACTTGCCAATTTCCTTGCGATTTGCAAGACATCCGACACAGATGTCTATGCAAATCGCAACAAAATGTAGTGCATGCACTACTTTATAAATCAGTGCAGCTCCAACCAAGTCAGAACTGCACCAATATGACTGCTCTAATAGCGGACAATAGGGTGCGACTTGGCATACAATTTGCAAGTCGGCTGGCATGAAAAATCACAAGCCAAATCGCACCGATGTGACCAGGGCCTTAGTGATTTTTACAGAAACGCACTACAGTCCATTTAACATGGTTTCCTATGGAACATGTTCACATCTATGCTTTTTTGATCAGCTGCGTTTTTGGAACGGGTCAAGGACTTTTTTAAAAACAAAAAGCAGTGTTTTTGCTACAATAGTGTTCAATGGAGAAGCTGGTGAAATGCATGGTAGTGAGTTTTGTCCATGTTTTGCATTTTTATTCTGCCCAGCAACAAAAAAAAAAAAAAAAAAAAAAAAAAAAAAGGAGAGCTGAACAAAAACGAAAAGTGCAGAAAAACCGCATCAAAAACGCGTGTAGAAAATGCAAAATGAACTGCGAAAAGCACTGCAAAGCAGACTGAAGCAAACTGCATAGGTGTGAACGGAGCCTAAAAAGGGATAGTTCACCTTCACCAAAGATCTGCCTATGCAGGCAAGGAGTATCTGTGGATAAAACCAAACTGTGCGTCTCGGACTAAAGCTGAATAATGTCCTTGTTAAAGGTGGAGGCCATTTACAGTTGCAAGAAAAAAAGTATGTGAACCCCTTGGTATTACATGGAGTTTTGCATGAATTGGGCATAAAATGTGCTCTGAACGTCATCTAAGTCACAACAATAGAAGAACACAGTCTGCTGAACATAATACTATACAAACATTAGATGTTGCCATGGTTTAATTGCACATAACATGTAAACATTCACAGTGTAGGGAGGAAAAAGTATGTGAACCTTTGGACTTAATAACTGGTTGACCCTCCTTTGGCAGCAATAACCTCAACCAAACGTTTCCTGTAGTTGCAGATCAGACCTGCACAAAAATCTGGAGTAATTTTGGACCACTCCTCTTCACAAAACTGTTTCAGTGTAGCAATATTCTTGGGATGTCTGCTGTGAATCGCTCTCTTAAGGTCATGCCACAGCATTTCAATCGGGTTGAGGTCAGGACTCTGACTGGGCCACTCCAGAAGGCGTATTCTGTGCTGTTGCAGCCATTGTTTTGTTGAATTACTTGTATGCTTTGGGTCATTGTCCTGTTGCATCACCCATCCTCTGTGGAACTTCAGTTGGCGGACAGATGGTCGTACGTTTTCCTGCAAAATGTCTTGATAAACTCTGGAATTCATTTTCCCATCAATGACAACAATCTGTCCAGGCCCTGAGGCAGCAAAGCAGCCCCAAACCATGATGCTCCCTCCGCCATGTTTTACAGTGGGGATGAGGTTTTGATGTTGGTGTGCTGTGCCTTTTTTTTCTCCACACATAGTGTTGTGTGTTCTTCCCAAACAACTCAATCTTGGTTTCATCTGTCCACAGTATATTTTGCCAGTAGTGCTGTGGAACATCCAGGTGCTCTTTTGCAAACTTCAAATGTGCTGCAATATTCTTTTTGGACAGCAATGGCTTCCTCCGTGGTGTCTTCCCATGTACTCCATTCTTGTTTAATGTTTTCCTTATTGTAGATGTGTCAACAAAAATGTTAGCATGTGCCAGAGATTTCTGTAGGTCTTTAGCTGACACTCTGGGATTCTTCTTTACCTCATGCAGCATTCTGCGCTGTGCTCTTGCAGTCATTTTTACAGGACGACCATGCCTAGGGAGAGTAGCAACAGTGCTAAACTTTCTCCATTTGTAGACAGTCTGTCTTACCGTGGACACATGAACATCAAGGCTTTTGGAGATACTTTTGTAACCCTTTCCAGCTTCATGCAAGTCAACAATTCTTGATCGTAGGTCTTCTGAGAGCTCTTTTCTGCGAGGCATGGTTCACATCAGATAGTGCTTCTTGAAACCAGTAAACCCAAAACAGGTGTGTGTTTTTTTTAAGGGCAGGTTAGCTGTCAGCAACACATCCAATATCATCACACTGATTGGAGTCAAGGTTGGCTCACTCCTGCCTCCAATTAGCTCTGGGAGAAGTCATTAAGCTAGGGCCTCACATACTTTTTCCTCCCTGCACTGTGAATGTTTACATGTTATGTGCAATTAAACCATGGCAACATCTAATGTTTGTGTAGTATTATGTTCAGCAGACTGTGTTCTTCTATTGTTGTGACTTTGATGACGTTCAGAGCACATTTTATGCCTAATTCATGCAAAACTCCATGTAATCCCAAGGGGTTCACATACTTTTTCTTGCAACTGTATGTACTTCATGAAGCCTGGCTGGAATACTCCCAGGACGTTGCTAAGTGTGGCCTAGTCATTACTGTACTGCTCACCTCCACCATCACAGGAGTGGGCCTTTTCTCTGATTCAGACTCCCTCACATACTCTATTTCTCCCCTGATACAGTAGCTTTGCGTTCAGCATCTGAGAGCTCTCTCCTGTGATGGAGGAGGAGGTGAGCAGTAACATGAAGGGCTTAACTGGGAGTATTCCAGTCAGGCTTCATGAGGTATGTAAATGGCCTACACCTATAGCAAGGGTATTATACAACTTTAGCCAGAGCTGTGCAGTTTATTTTAATCTAGACACCCCTTATCTCCATAGGCAGTTTTTTGGTAAATGTGAATTATCCCTTTAAAGTGATAATCCATCTTTTAGAAAAAAAAAATGTAAAATGCACCGACACAATAAAATATGAAGTGTGCATTTTTTGCATTGAAGCCTGCAGAGGATTGGAACCACAATCAGTGCAGTGTAGGTGCAATGCACTGGCTCCTGCAAACCTTTCCTCCAACCCCCTGGTCCATACAGAAGTACAGACATTTTATTACGTGGCTGGAAGTAATCAATGAACTACAAATTTGATGACGTCACTTGTGTTCCATTAAGATCTAGGAGTCCCTGTGCCAAGGTGGCACATGAGAGTTGTAGTCTTTCCATTCACAGATCCCGGTGAATGGGTATGTCTATGGGAGGCATGGCTGTGCGAGAGAAGCCACCCACAGCCGTGCTAAATTCAAAAGGGAGAAGCCCCTAACAAATCAAGCTGAGGACAATTTGAAGGTGAAGTTCCGGGAAACGTGACCATATTTGATGTTACACCCTAAAAAGAGGGTATACCATGAAACATGGTCACAAAATTGGACAAGGCTTTTAATGGTGCAGCCTGCAGAATTATTGAGAAAGTAGGGGGTCAATTAAAGAATATCTATACTAAAACTACAGGTCTTCTTTAAAGAAGACCTTTAAACCAGGACTGAACAGATACTACTCTAAACATTCAAAGGAGGTAGTCTTCTTTAAATCAGGATTTTTTTTTTTATTAGTAAAAGCTTCAGGCAAACAATAATTCCCAAGAATCCTTAACAGCACTCAATATTTTTGACATCTGTGTACAAGTGAAAATATATCTTCAAAAAAAAAAAAAAAATAAACAAATCTTGTATGTGGTCATTCCTGCTACACATAAATGAGCAGATATGGGGAGAAAAAAGGTCTTGTAGGTGGTCATTCCTGCTACATATAAATAACCAAATACAGGAAAAAAAAAAAAAAAAAAAAAAAAAAAAAGGTCTTGTATGTGGTCTTCCCTGCTACACATAAATGAGTAGATCTAGAAAAAACAAAAAAAAAAAAAAAAAATCTTGTATGTGGTCATTCTAGCTATATATAAATGAGCAGATGTGGGGGAAAAAATCTTGTATGTGGTCATTTCAGCTATATATAAATGAGCAGATACGGGAAAAAAAAAAAAAAGTCTTGTATGTGGTCATTCCTGCTACACATAAATGAGCAGATGTGGGGGGGAAAAAAAAAAAAAAAAACAATACAACAAATGCTATGCAGAGTTTAAACTAGTGCATCCCCAACATCAACAGGCATAGAGGTCAGACTTCCAGCTCAATAAACCCCATGCAGTGTTCTCTAACAGACTGCTCTCTTCCTCATAAGACAGGTTAAGAGTGATCCTCCAAAGAAACTGAATGCTGAGCGGATGAAAAAGTTAACCAGGGGTCA